ACTGAAACCTCAGAAGTTCGCTTACTGAAGGGCTGTTATTACAGACATGTGCCAGTGGCACCCAACTTCTGCCCTCACCTAGGTGAGGTTCTAGGAAATCACATTCCCCATGAGTAAATAAGGTTTCATTAGCAATTGGATGTCTGTGAATAATGTAGACCCAGGAAAGGCTGGGGTGTGGGGGAGGCAGGTGAACTGGAGGCTGAATCAACTCAGAAACCTCAAGGAGGGATTATGTTGGCTTTACATATTTATAACCCCTGAAGCTTTTCTGTTTTTTTGTGTGTGCCAGTCCTGCAACCTGAACTCAGGGCCTGAGTGTTGTTTCTTTGGTGGTCAGAGCTACCACTACAGCATTTGAACCATAGGTGCAATTCTGGTCTTTTGAAAATTAGTGACTTTAGACTTTTACTGACTAATGTCTGATCAGACTTTGCACCTGAGATCTCATGTTCCTGATGAGCTGGAATTTGAGGTATTAGCCACTGGCACATTTTCCTTGGACCAAATGCATATACCTCTCATAGAAGAATTTTGACTGAACTGTATAGACACATCTCACTTTTTTTTGGGGGGGGGGGGTCCGGTCGTGGGGCCTGAACTCTGGGCTTGAGCGCTGTCCCTCAGCTCTTCAGCTCAAGGCTAGTGCTCTACCACTTGAGCCACAGCGCCACTTCCGGCTTTTTTCTTTTTGCTTATGTGGTGCTGAGGAATCGAACCCAGGGCCTCAGGCATGCAAGACAAGTGCTCTACCACTGAGCCAACTTCCCAGCCCCACATCTCACTTTTTTTTTTTTTTGTCGGTCGTGGGGCTTGAACTCTGGGCCTGGGTGCTGTCCCTCAGCTCTTCAGCTCAAGGCGAGCGCTCTACCACTTGAGCTACAGCGCCACTTCCGGTTTTCTGGTGGTTTATTGGAGATAGGAGTCTCACGGTCTCTCCTGCCCGGGCTGGCTTTGAACCTCGATCCTCAGATCTCAGCCTCCTGAGTAGCTAGGATTACAGGCGTGAGCCACCAGCACCCGGCACATCTCACTTTTTTATGTGTCAGATTGCATTCCCGTCTGGGAATGAGCCCATCCCATATGTGTCCTGTGTGGGCAGAAAAGGAGAAGCTGAGAGGTGACTTCCTCCTGTCCTCCCATAGGTACAGATTCCCGGGCTGTAACTCCGAGGAACATGAACAAGTAAAGAAGTAAGTGGACTGTGACACAAAGAAAAGCCCCCTTCTTGCAAAATGGGATCTTTGAGGGTTCTACTTCAAAGTGCAGATTCCTCATACGCACACCACTTGTGCTTTCCACTATGAGCAGAGGCTTGGGATTGGAGTGGTGGCAGAGGACACAGCTGTTGTGTGGTTGTGGACTCTCAGGGATGACAGGGAGGGCTGTGTGTACAAAATCAGTTCCTTTTTGTTACCTATCATGGTGTGAATATTGGAGATTTACCTATCAGAAGCTTCTAGAAGTACCTTGAGAAGATCAGCCTGCTTGCAGGAGTCTCCTGCTGCTTCCCACCATGCAAGTGTGCATATAGCAGTCCTTGCAGAAAGGGCCTGATTTCCGAGAGCCACAGAACCGACACCCGGTGAAAGAACTTACCCACTATGCCATGCTCCACATGCCCTCCTCGGACCTGCTCTTCCACCTCCACATTCTTCTGGATGAGCTGGAGGAGACCGGGAAGAATGAGACCAAGAAACAGAGGAAGAAGTCCCTGTGTGGTCACCTCAGAGCTTGTGAGTAGGGATGGCGCCTGGGCCTCTAGGGATGGTCCTAATTGTCTGAGAGCCCTTATTACCACCCCCCCCAGGTTGTAAGAATGTCTTTGTATGATATTCTCTGCCAGGCAATGTTTGTTCTATTGGTGAAAGCACTTGGGCTTAGCCACTCTTAGGAAAGACCTTACCTTCTCATTAGTGTTCAGTCCAAAGTAAACTTGTACAGCTTCCTCCATTAGAGCCTCATGGAAGTTGAACTCCACCTTAACATCCAGAGACCACTGTCAAACTCCTTTACCTATTTCTCTTTCTCAGGTTTTGGCCTCCATAGAGTAGCTTCTCCTGACCTCCCAAGAAAGAAGCCCTCAGTGATGTCAGGGATGGTGATGGATGGAGATCTGGAACCATCACTGGACTCCACAAAGCATGTGCATGTAGAGGGGTTGTATGCATCCAACTGCACATGTGACACATATGAACCTGGAGGGACCCCAAAGGAAGAAGAAGATAATATGAAATGTCTTCCTCTGACTTTCACAGTGGGCTCAGATCAGCTCAAAAAGGGTCAAATCAGCACTCCCCCTGGTGTGCTGGAGGGAGTAGCACACGTGGGGCTGATGGAAAATGTCCCCAGTCTGGGTTCAGGGGAACCAATGAGTGAGGTCCCAACGTTAGATGCAGCTCAGAACATCCGGACAAATCTGTCCTGCTGCAGCAGAACCAATCTCCAACTGAGAAGTTAGAATCTGCCTCTCTCAACTCCAGGAGCAAATCCTATCTTTCATGAGGAGGTAGATCCCTTAGAGGATTCTGAGGTAGAATTTATGCCTGAAGGCAACTTAGAAGCCAACCTAGACTTAGAGCTTCCCTCCCCTCTCCCTGGGGATATCTCTCTTCTTCTTTTTGTCCTAATTGTTGTAAAATGTTCATTATTTTTATTCTTCTAAATTTATTAAAATGTGTATGTTTATGTTGTACAATTTATGGATCCTAAATACTATAGGTTTTTAAGTGTACAATCTTATGTCCCAGACGCCTGGGTCCTAAGTGGGGGCAAAACACAGTGCCTGGAGCTGTCCAAGAGAACTTACTGGCTATACAGGGAACTGCTCAAACCACAGGGGATGGCAAGGAATCCAGTCCATGCGTGCATGGGGTGATCAGGCCACTACTAAAATTCTAGGACATAGCAAAGCAGATGTCCTTGAAAGTTTTTCTGTCTATTGAGACAAATGTCAGACCAAATGTAATTTATGGAGGACTTTCTTGTAACAGTGAATTCAAGTGTTTATGCACACCCATTGTGCTTTGTGCAAATATGTAAGTAAATTTCACCTGAAAATGACATTAAATAGCTCCTTTGGTGGAAAAGTAGTTGACAAAATACATAGGCATTAGGTTTACTGAAAAGTAAAAGTCATCATCAGTGGAAGAAAGAACACTCAGAGGGACTTCCTCAGAGGACATGGCAGGGGTCCTGGCTCATTGCAATTATTCTATCTTCCAGACTGCCCTGTCCTTCCTCAGGAAGGAGGTTCAAATCAGCCCCCATAGACAAATGTGAAAGACTCTTATTCACTGAGCCAGCAAAAGTCAGGACTTGTAGCATGGCTCAGGTTGTATGTTTAAGCACTGAACAAGAAAATAAGCAAGAGCTCAAGGCCCTGAGTTCAAACTCCACTACTGGTACAAAAGATAAAGACATCTAAACCTGAAATGTGTGCAATGGTAGCTTTAATCCAAGGGAAAAGAGATGTATAGAAATGGGAAAATTACATATTAGTTTAAGCAAAAAGGCCAGACTTATACATTAGGTCCAGATATGAAATAGAAAAAAGAAATGTAGTTTCCCCTCACACATCAACTCCTGGCCATCAATTTTGTCAAATAGGCACAATACTGGGTATGAATGACTCATTGCTCATCATACTACAAAGTCATAATCTCTAATTAACCCTCAAAAAGAAAGAACTGGGGTCAGGCTCAAGTGGCAGAGCACCAGCCAAGAGCAGAAACAACTGAAGAATAAGAAAACAGCAAAGAAGCTTGCAGACAACAGCTGCTATGCTAAGGCTGAGTCTTGTCTCTCTGGGGATCAGGACATGTAGTGTTATTTTTCTATCTCCACCTACTTCAACCTGAACCCTAAAATGAGTCACTAAAATGAGCCTCTGTTGAGACTTTGTGTAACTGTCTTTTGTGAAACACGCTATAATGTTAATGCCATGTATCTCAAGGACCAGTGATGTTTGGCTCAATGGGTAGATGCTAGCCTTGAGCAGAAAAGCTCAGCAATAATGCTTAATGAGTTTTCCATATGTTTAAAGGTAGGGTTTATTTCCTTTTAGTTAAATGAGATAATTCCTAGTCATTGTATATTCCGAGTTTCATGGTTCCATTCTGCGTTTTTTTTCTTCAAAAATGCTCTGGAGATAAGGACCATTTAGAATATATTTGTTAAACAAAGCAGATTTTTTTCTTCATGAATCAAAGCATTTTATATTTATGCAAATGGTTTAGTTGTGGGTGGTCCATGTGTGCATTATTGAAACCATATACAGCTATACTTGAAAAGATGATGCAGCTGACCATGGAGATGGTATGGAGATATTATTGGCTTAAATGTAGAATAACCCATTGGTGAGTGGGGGTGTGGCTGTTCATGTTCTATGGGAGCATGTGGAATCATTTATAAAACACCAAATAGATTCCAGCTAGCCAAATGCGGATCAGGATGATGTGGTACTATGTAGTGAATTGTGAAAGAATAGGAAAAACATCTTAGATATCCAGATACATTTTCTGAATGGAGTTATGAGGGATTTCTCTGTCTGTCGGTCTGTCTGTCTGTCTCTCTGTTTGGTCGTGGAGCTTTAACTCATGTGGGCACTGTCTCTGAGCTCTTTTTTCCCAAGGCTAATGCTCTTCTACTTTGAGTCACAGCTCCCCTTACAATTTTCTGGTGCCCTGTGTCCTGTGTCACTAGATAAAATAAACTAGTGTCTAAGGCCTTCCAGAGGGCTTTGTGTTCCTAGGGCTGTGCGAGGAAGAGGGTGGGGCCTCTCCACCCTGCCCCTAACCCCACCCCTACCCGCCCCGCGGAGAGGAGCTGGGGAGGACGCGCTCCCTAGTGGCCCAGCCGAGCCACAGCCCTGCCCCTCCCCGCCCAGCCTGAAGCCCCGCTCCTCCCGCCCCTCCCGCCCCTCCCCGCCCAGCCTGAAGCCCCGCCCCTCCCACCCCTCCCGCCCCCGAAGCCGCCTCCGCTCCTCTCGCGACGCCGACGGCGCCGGGCTCCCTGGGGTCCCGCGGCCCTTATAGTTCCGGTTGTGGCGCCCGGGCGGAAAGTTGAAGCGGACGGACTGTGGCCGGCGATGGGCTTGGGGTGAGTGCAGGAGGCGGCGGCGGCGGCGGCCTGAGGGTCGCGTTCAATCGGTTGTAGGGATACAGGCGAAGGGTGAGGTGAGAAGAGCCGCGCAGGCCCAGCGCCCGGCCATTGCGGCCTCCCCGCGCCGGCTCTGGGGCGCCATTCCCGGGGACCCTGCGCACCGCGACCCGGGACTGCCGAGCGCTGTGTGAACAGCCCCATTTCGCCCCGTTTTGGGCCCCTCTCTCCCCGCTTTCCTCAGGAGGGACTTCCAGGTCTTTTCACTGATTTTAGAGGTTGATTGTCAGTTGTTGGGGGGACACCTCCCGTCGCCGTCCGTGGGCACTGTCTCTGAGCTCTTTTTTCCCAAGGCTAATGCTCTTCTACTTTGAGTCACAGCTCCCCTTACAATTTTCTGGTGCCCTGTGTCCTGTGTCACTAGATAAAATAAACTAGTGTCTAAGGCCTTCCAGAGGGCTTTGTGTTCCTAGGGCTGTGCGAGGAAGAGGGTGGGGCCTCTCCACCCTGCCCCTAACCCCACCCCTACCCGCCCCGCGGAGAGGAGCTGCACATTTGCAGCCAGACGTCTGCCCGGGAGAAGGCTGACAGGTAGCTGCGGCCTCCGCGGCGGCTGGGAGACTCAGACGAGGCCCACGCTTTGAGGCTCGCCCCCTGAGGGGTTTTGTTTGGTTCTAGCGCTGGTTCTGGGGCCTTAAACTCAGAGCCTGAGCCCGTCCCTGAGCTCAAGGCTAGCGCCCTACCACTGGAGCCACACTTGCACATCCCGTTTTCTTTGGTAGGTTAATGGAGATTAAAAAAAAAGAAAGTCTCAAGGACTAGGCTTCCTGGCAGGGCTGGCTTCGAACCACCATCTTCAGCTCTCAGCCTCCTGTTGATTACCGGCGTGAGCCGCTGATGCGGGCCTTAGCTGGACGGTGTTCTGTAGAGCTGCTGAGACGCTTCAATCACTTTTCTTCAAGCATCCATCCAACACCGTGTTCTGTCACACACAGAGAGAACATGACTGAGAGGTGCTGCTATGACATTTTTAACAGGGTTATGTTGAACAAACAACAACTTTAATGAGGCAGAGATGAGGGAGACAAATTTAAATTTGTCTATCAAAATAGTTAAACATTTGGGACTTCCCAGGAGTGAATTTTTTTTCTGGTTAGTCTATTGATGTGGAAAGCTATGTCTATTATGAGGTTTTAAAAAAAAAAACGCTTTTGCTGTTTAACCTGTGTTCCTAACCCCCTGTTTAAAACATTGTTTTCAGTCAGGTTTAATTCTAGTTACTTAGCAAGCTGAGACCTAGAGGATCACATCTCAAATCCAACCCAGATGGAATCCTAGAGATTCCCATCTTAATACTGGCACACTCACAAAATTTAAAAAAATTCTATGCACAAAAATAAAGAAATAACAAATACAGAGACCCACTAATGTGGATACAACTTGTTGATCCTCTGTTAAGAGACTATAGTGTGCCAGGCACCAGTAGCTCAAGCCTATAATCCTAGCTACTTAGGAGGCTGAGATCTGAAGAGTTAAAAGCCAGCCCAGGAGCCTGGCGCCAGTGGCTCACCCTTGTAATCCTAACTACTCAGGAGGCTGAGATCTCATGATCAAGGTTCAAAGCTAGCCCAGGCAGGAAAGTCTGTGAGACTCATCTCCAATGAAGTACCAGAAAACCAGAAGAGTGGCTATGGCTCAAAGTGGTAGAACTCTAGGCTTGAGTGAAAAAGCTCAGGGACAGCGCCAGGCCCTGAGTTCAAGCTCTACCAAGGAAAGGAAAGAAGGGGAAAGGGGAAAGGGAAGGAAAGGAGAGAGAAACTGTAGTCTGTTGACACAATGAAATAGCATGTAGTTACAAATAAATGACCCAGCTTAAAAAAAAATACATAACTAAGGAAAGTGGGTTACAGGACTATATGTGTATACTTCGTACAACTTCATAGTCACATTGCTTGTGTCATATACAATTGTGGAAGACTTTAGGTAGATGTAAAAACATTATACAAGGTTAATGTTCACTGTTTGTTTTTTGGAATTCACTTCAAAATGTTTAACAATAGCCAGACTGCTTGCTGGTACAATGCCCAAGCACGGATGTGTGAAATTCTAAAATTCAAATTATAAGGGAGCTGTTGGAAACTTAGAACATAGTGGTTCACAGGAGCCAAATTACATTTTATTTATATATTTATTTAATTTTACTTTGAGGCTGGTATTGGGGCTTGTATTCAGGGCTTCATGCTTTCCCTCAACTTGCTGGTTCATGACTGATGAGCAGACTGGCTCCAAAATAAAAGCCTCTGACCTTAGCTTCCTGAGTATCTAGTATTACAGGCCACCAGCATTAAGCTATAGTGTGTGTGTGTGTGTGTGTGTGTGTGTGTGTGTGTGTGTGTGTGCGGGCGTGCGCACACGCGCACGCAAGCACGTGCATGTGTGGGCGTGCATGTGTGCGCGTGCGTTCATGCACCCCAGTATTGAGACAAACTCAGGGCCTGGGTGCTGATCCTTAGCTCCCCCCTACCCCTGCCTCCCACTCAAAGCTAGTACTCTACCACTTGAGCCACAGCTCCACTTCTGGCTTTTTGGTAGTTAATTGGAGATAAAAGTCTCACAGACTTTCCTGTCTGAGATGGCTTCAAACCATGATCCCCATATCTCAGCCTCCTGGGTAGCTAGGATTACAGTTGTGAACCACGAGTGTGTATATGTGTGTGTGTGTGTATCTCTCTCTCTTCCCCCCTCTATATATGTATATATACATAAATGTATATATGTAAGTATATACATATTTATATAAATAAATACATATTTTATATAAAAATTGAAAGTTGGAAGTAAGGCCTACCTTTAATGCTTTTTCCCACTGGTAATAAGGTAGCCCTTGAGCCACAGGTGTAGATAGTGTGTTTTGAGTGTGTCTGGGAGTGGTCTTCCCAGTGAATTAGGCTGCTGTCTTCTTTCTCCCAGAATTCTCTGCAGATTGACCTATATAGGGGTCACCTTGCCTTATTTCTGGAAAATTGGTTACAGTTATGGTGAAAAGATATTGCTTTCCTTCTGTGACATTTCTTTTTTTTTTCCCCACAGCATTTCACTATTTGTAGCTTGTTGTCTGCATTCTGACTGGGCTGGCTCAAATTCTGTTCACCATGCCAACAGTGGTGGTGATGGACGTGTCCCTCTCCATGACTCGGCCTGTGTCAATCGAGGGGTCTGAGGAATACCAGCGGAAGCACCTTGCAGCCCATGGGTTGACAATGCTGTTTGAGCACATGGCCACAAACTACAAGCTTGAATTCACAGCATTAGTGGTTTTCTCATCGCTTTGGGAGCTGATGGTCTTCTTCACAAGAGATTATAACATCCTGCAGGTACAAAAAGGAATAAAGACCCAAGTTGATTGGAAAGAAAGCAGTATGATAATAGTGTACTGATTTTAGGCCTTAGAATTATTTAATAATAAATATACAGGCACTTAATATGCACAGCTATAAAGCATAATTCATAACCAATAGGTCTTAGGCCTTTCTTTTGTAAAGCTATGAGGTAGAGAAAGAGGTCATGGGGGCTGGGAAGGTGGCTGACTGGTAAAGTGCTTGCCTTGCATTCATGAGGCCCTGGGTTCGATTCCTCAGCACCACATAAGCAGAGAAAGGTCATGGTCCATTTTCTGGAATTCTTAGGAAAGGTGAACATTTCAGCATACCATGCTTCAGTCCCTAAATTCAACATTTTTTGCCATTCTGCTGTTTTCTACTTTCTCATACAATTTTTAGGTAATGAAAAATAGCCCTTATTAAAACACACACACGCACAGACACACACACACACACACACACACACACACACACACACAAACTTCTTCTAGAAAGTTCAGAATGATGCTTACTCTACAACAGATAGTATTCATTTATAGATGCCAAGATATTATTATTTTTCTTTTTCTTCTTTTTTTCTATCCTGGGGCTTGAATTCAGGACCTGGGCGTTATCCTTGAAATTTTTGCTCAAGGTTGGCACTCTACCACTTGAGCCATAGCTCCACTTCCAACTTTTTTGCTGGTTGATTGAGATAAGAGTCTCATGGACTTTCCTGCCCAAGGTGGCGTCAGATGTCGTTAGATCTCAGCCTCCTGAGTAGCTAGGATTACAGGTATGAGCTACTAGTACCCAGCTCAATGTTGTCATTTTAAAATCTTAATAGGTATTGTCTTTCAAAGATATTTTTCTGAGATAAGCCAGATGTCTTTATTTTTTTTTCAAATTCTTTATTGTGATTAAGTGATTACATAATTTCCCAAATTTCACTGTATTGCGAGATAGTGATGCTTAGTTAAAATCACAAACACATTCTAATTTCATGGGGCAAATTGTCTGTAGTGATCTATAATATTTATGAGTTCTATGAGCTAGCCAGATGTCTTTAAACCATTAATATCTCCTATAGTTCTTAACACAGTGTCTTGGCCAGTGAGTAGACAATAAGTGTTTCTGAAATTAAACTGAGCAATTAAATAATTGTTGGGCAATTTGGAAATGCAGGATTAATGCAGTTTGCATTCTTAGTAATTTTTTTGTTGTTGTCAGTCGTGGGCCTTGAACTCTGGGCCTGAGCACTGTCCCTCAGTTCTTCAGCTCAAGGCTAGTGCTCTACCACTTGAGCTACAGCGCCACTTCCGGTTTTCTGGTGGTTTATTGGAGATAAGAGTTTCATGGACTTTCCTGCCCCTGCTGGCTTTGAACCGCAATCCTCAGATCTCAGCCTCCTGAGTAGCTAGGATTATAGGCATGAGCCACTGGTGCCCGGCTGAATTCTTACTAATTTTTATTAAAGCTTTCCTTTTATTATCTTGCATCTTTATGAGACTTAAATTTTTTTTTAATCGTACTGGTGGACTCTTGGTGGTACTGAGTCTTGAATTCAGGACCTCATGCTTGGTAGGTAGATGCTCTACCACATGAGTCATACTTCCAACCTTTTTTTGTACTGGGTATTTTCAGATTATAGTCTCAGTTTATGCCCTGGATGGTTTGGGCTTTGATCCTTCCACTTGTGCTTCCCCATGTCAGTGGGGATAACAGGTGTGTGCTACCACACCTAGTCTTTGGTTGAAATAGAGTCTTGTGAATTTTCTTCCCAGGCCAGCCTCTTAACAGCAATTTCCCAATCTCTGCCTCTCAAAATAGCTAGGATTATGGGCGTAAGCCACCCCACTCTGCTTGTACTGGTTTTCTTATAAGTTATTTAGCTAAAGATTTTTTGTTGTTTAGCAGTTCTAAAATTTAGAGAATTGCAATGTAATGAATGAGGTGTAAGAGGTAAAAGCAGAAGCTCTGGAGCCAGGCCACTTCTTAAAAATTTCCTCATTTAGGGCTGGGAAGGTGGCTCAGTGGTAGAGCGCATGTCTTGCATGCCAGAGGCCCTGGGTTCGATTCCTCAGCACCACATAAGCAAAAGGAAAAAAGCTGGAAGTGGCGCTGTGGCTCAAGTGGTAGAGCGTTAGCCTTGAGCTGAAGAGCTGAGGGACAGCGCCCAGGCCCAGAGTTCAGGCCCTATGACCGGACCCCCCCCAAAAAAATTCCTCATTTAAAAGTAGGGTGAACAATGGTAGGATGATTAAATCCGTGTAAAGTGCACAGAATGGTGTTTAGGAGATTATGGTTAATGGTCCATACATTTTGGTCATTACTTTAAGCTTATTTCATTGTCCTTTACAGTTGAGGAAGTCTGTTTTGCTGTGTTTGTGTGTGTGTGTGTGTGTGTGTGTGTGTGTGTGTGTGTGTGTGTGTGTGCGCGTGTTGTCTGGAACCTATGCTTTGGGGCTTACAGAAACTCAGTGTTCGCTGTATGATACTCAGACTTCATACAGTTTATATTGGTTTCTAATAACAAAACAGCAGAGAATAATGAGCAATTTTTTTCTCGCCCAATAAGGAAGCACTGAGTAACATGGACAATTACGACAAGACATGCCTAGAGTCCGCACTGGTTCGTGTCTGTAACATTGTTCAGCAAGACTGGGGAGGTGCGATCCCTTGCCAGGTAATGCTTAGTTTTTTTCAATGTCCTTAGTTAATATCATTAACGAGCCAGGCACTAGTGGCTCACACCTGTAACCCTAGCTACTAAGGGGGCTGAAATCCAAGGATTGCTGGTCAAAGCCAGCCCAGGCAGGAAAGTATATGAGAATCTTATCTCCAATTAACCAAAAAAGGAAAAAAAAAAAGTAGAGTTATGACTCAAGTGGTAGAGTGCTAGCCTTGAGCAAAAAAAGCTCAGGGACAATGCACAGGGTCTGAGTTCAAGCTCTAGGACTGGCACCAGAAAGAAAGAAAAAAGGAAGAGAAAATATAGACCCCCCAAACTGGCCTGTAAATCTTAGGTATTCAAGAGGCTGAGATCTGAGGATCTCAATTTGAAGCTAGCTGAGGCTAGAAAGTCCGTGAGACACGTCTCCAGTTAAGTAGCAAAAAGCCAGATGTGGAGCTGTGGCTCAAGTGATGGAGCACTAGCCTTGAATGAAAAAGCTAAAAAAGGGCTAGGAATGTGGTTTAGTGGTAGAGTGCTTGCCTAGCATGCATGAAGCCTTGGGGACGATTCCTCAATACCACATCAACAGAAAAAGCCAGAAGTGGTGCTGTGGCTCAAGTGGTAGAGTGCTAGCCTTGAGCACAGAGAGACTCAGGGACAACACCCAGACCCTGAGGTTAAGCTACTAGGAGTGCATGTACACATGCATGAGCACATGTGCAAAACATACAAATCATTAACCACTGTAGTGTTGATTTTCCTCAGGCTCTAACCGCCTACGTTATAACTCCACAAACTACATTTTACACTATTTGTACAGTTTTTAAAGAAGGCATTAAATCACTGTAATCGTATCACACGAATTTAAGTCGTACTAATGTGTTCAGAAAGCAGACCTATGCCTCGAGGAAAGTATTTTCCTGGTAAATTGATGTACTGAAAATTTATATTGTTTATATAAAGACAAAGGGCTCACAGTAGAATTTATAACTATTCACTGAAGGACGGATTATAATTTTGTGTGGTAGAATTGTAAACACGGAACAATAGTGTCTATTCTTCATTATCTCAGTGTAGCAGTTATTCAGCAAATTTCTAACCATCTCAACTGAGTTGTCTAAAAAGTGAAGAGAATCATTAAGATTTGCTCTTGTGGGACACCAGTGGCTCACACCTGTAATCCTAGCTACTCAGAAGACTAGGATTTGAGGATCTCCATTCAAAGCCAACCCAGGCAGGAAAGAGGAAACTCTCATCTCCAGTTAAACACTAAAAAGTTGGTAGTAGAGTTGTGGGCCAAATGGGAGAGTGCTAGCCTTGAGCAGAAAAAGCTAAAGGACAGTACCCAGGCCCTGAGTTCAAGCTCTAGTACCTGCATTTTTGTTTTAAATGCACAAATTCAAAATACATGGTTTGGTCTTGTCTATGAGGATGGATGTTAAGGAGAGCAGAGAGAGAGAAAAAGAATGGTGGACAAAAACAGTCATAATATTCAATGTACATATTGAAACTGGGACTAGAAAACTTCAGATGGGTAAGTTTGGAGTACATGGAAAACTGATAGAAAGGTTGACACTGATCAAAGTGTATTCTACATATCAGTTGACGTTGAATTAAAACCCTGTGGTATAACTAGTTAAAGATAATTTTAGCCCGGGGCCAGTGGCTCACATATATAATCCAAGTTACTTAGAAGGCTGAGATCTGAGGATCCAGGTTCAAAGTCAGCTCAGCAAGAAAGTCTGTGAGGCTCTTATCTCTAATTAACCATCAGAAAACCAGAAGTGCAATTGTGACTCAAAGTGGTAGGGTGCTAGCCTTGAGCAAAAAGAGCTCAGGGATAGCACCCAGGCCCTGAGTTCAAGTACCATGACTTAAGCCAGGCATCAGGGGCTCATGCTTGTAATCCTACCTACTCAAGAGGCAGAGATCTGAAGATCATGGTTTGATTCTAGCCTGAGGAAAGTCTGTGAGACTTTTATCTCCAGCTAACCAGTAAAAAGGCAAAAGTAGAGGTGTGGCTCTAGTGGAAGAACACCAGTCTTGAGCAAAATAGTTCACAAATAGAGCCCAGGCCCTGAGTTCAAGCCCCAAGACCGGCACATAAACAAACAAATAAATCACACAGTTTGCTAGATTTTCACAAGTGGATGTATATCCTTACTACAATTAAGACCTAGAACATACCCATCACCCCACAAAGCTCCCTGCACATTCCTGTAGCAGTGAAAGCAAACCTGGGTGGAGCTGTTGGGCATGTGGCTTAATGGATACTTGTCCTTTGCACACAGGTCGTTCTGGTGACGGACGGCTGTCTCGGCATTGGTAGAGGGTCCCTGCGACATTCCCTAGCGACACACAATCAAAGGAGCGACAGCAACAGGTTCCCGCTGCCTTTCCCTTTCCCGTCTAAGTTATACATCATGTGCATGGCAACCCTGGAAGTTACCTGCCTTCTGCTAACTGCTTTTTAGATGGGTTAGGTAAATCCCAGGGCTCGGTTTATTTTTCAGTATATTCAATGAACACTCTTGCGTACGGTATAACATTTAGATTTGAAAAGACTTGATTTCACATGCTCTTTGACATAACAACACTCACCTCTCCAAGAGTATAGCTGGAGATGCCCATTGTGCTGATGACCATGAAGGCTTGAGATGTTCTTTTTTTTCTGTCCATTCCTCCAGAAATGTTGACAGAGATATACTTTAGGTTTTTTTTGTTTTGGGGGGGGCTTTTTTTGGAAGGGGGGAACATAGGTCCTTTTGTTTGTTTGTTGTGGTGCTGGTATTGGGGCTTAAAATCAAAGCCTGGATGCTGTCCCTGAGCTTTTTGCTCAAGACTAGCACTCTACCATTTTGAGCCACAGCTCCATTTCTGGCTTTTTTGGTAGTTTAGTGGAGCTGAAGATCTCACAGATTTTACTACTCAGGCTTGGCTTCAAACTGCCATCCTCAGCTCTCAACCTCCTGAGTGGCTAGGATTACAGGCATGAGCCAACAGCACCTGGCTTCTGATGTGTTTTATTAAATACTTCCTGCTTTTCCCATTGAGTCAGGAATTATTTCACTTTACCTCAGTTTTTCTCTATAAAATGCTGATAATTGATGGCTCTTACCAAACCATGTCAGGAACAGGTTGTATGGAAGATGCTGTATGGCTACTGACTGTGGTCTCCTGAGAATCTGCAGAACTACTTATGAATGAAGTACCTCTTGTAACCTTGAGGCAGATTGCAATAGTTGAGGTAAGAAAGTCCATGAGACTCAGTATCTCCACTAAACTACCAAAAAATCTGGAAGTGGAGTTTTGCTCAGGTGGTAGAGTGCTAGCCTTGAGCAAAAAGCTCAAGGACAGCACCTAGGCTCTGGAATTGAGCCCAGGAACTGGCACACACACAGAACAATTGTTGTGCTACTTCTTTATTTGTATTTTTTTTTGGAGGGGGTCCCATCGTGAGACCTAAACTCTGGGCCTAGGCGCTGTCCCTCAGCTCTTCAGCTCAAGGCTAGCGCTCTACCACTTGAGCCACAGCACCACTTCCGGCTTTTTTCTTTTTGCTTATGTGGTGCTGAGGAATTGAACCCAGGGCCTCATGCATGCAAGGCAAGCGCTCTACCACTGAGCCACCTTCCCAGCCCCTGTAGTTACTTCCTTCTGATATTGACTGTTAAGAAAATCATCTCACGACTCAACACCCGTAATCCTAGCTACTCAGGAGGCTGAGATCTGAAGATCATGGTTCAAAGCCAGCCTGGGCAGGAAAGTCCGTGAGACTCTTATCTACCAAAACTACCAAAAAAGCTGGAAGTGGAGCTGTGGCTCCACTTGAGACTTGAGTCTTGAGACTCTTATCTCCAATTAACGACTCAAAAAAACTGAAAGTAGCTCTAGGCTGAAGTGGTAGAACACTAGCTTTGAATACATAGAGGCTCAGGGACAGTGTTAAAGCCCTGAGTTAAACCCCTGCAACGGACAAAAAAAAAAGTGTAAGGCCTTGAGTTTAAGCCCCAGTACCAGAACCAAAAGAACAAACCAAACAAACCGTTTATTGCTCATTTTGTTACAGTGGCTATGGCCTTGGTGTGCTGGTAGTGTGATGTGGTGATTTGTTCTACTTTAAAGGTGTCCTCTCTTGCTTTGTAGCTTCAGAGCACCGATTCCCTGGAATGCCTTGAACGTCTCATAGACCGCAACAACGGTGAAGGGCAAATTTTTACTATTGATGGCCCCCTGTGCTTGAAAAACGTGCAGTCTATGTTTGGGTGAGTATATGCCTTAAAGTTGTTTTTTGAGGGGAGTGGGGGCTTCTTTACAATCTGATATTATAATTTGACAACCAAGAAGAACAGTTACTGTATTATTTCTTCAGTCTAATGTTCTCCCAACTGAGCTATTTCGGCAACCTCTCAGTTACTGTATTATTTCTAACAGTGTGAGTCCATTTTCCCACAGTTGCCCGTTTCTCAGGTAAAATAAGGTGGTCATGCTTTAAAAAGACTCAGCTGTTCCCAAGTTTAACTTGCTCTGGGGTTTCTCTCTCAATTGAAATTTCCTCTTTAAAAACATCAAAATGTTTTCCGTTTCACAAGTAGATTTAGTTTTGGAATCAGTGCGAAGGTTTAACCAACTTTACATCTTGAAATGTTACTTTTTGTGTACAGTCCTTTTATGTGTACCACATGTGAACTTTTCCTCCCTTAACAAGTCATGATCATCTTCTAGAAAGCTGATAGACCTGGCATATACGCCTTTCCATGCTGTGCTCAAGTGTGGCCACCTGACCGCTGATGTCCAGGTCTTCCCCAGGCCAGAGCCATTCATTGTAGATGAAGAAATCGATCCTATCCCAAAAGTCATTAACACAGGTAATGCATTAAAAATTCCCTCCTGGCCTTCCTCTTTTCTCTGCCCTCTTTTCACTTGTGACTTACTTTCTCCCCATCTAGGAGGGTTGGAAAGAATCTTGTATTCTCACAGGGAGGTGCTATTGTCATCAGCCCTGGATTTTTTTTTTTTTTGCTGGTCCTGGGGGCTTGAACTCAGGGCCTGGGCATTGTCCTTGAGCCTCTTTTGCTCAAGGCTAGCCCTCTACCACTTGAGCCACAGCACCACTTCAGACTTTTCTGTTTATGTGATACTGAGGAATCAAACCCAGGGCTTCATGCAGTCCACAGGAGAACCTTCTTAGGTGATTTGTCTATACTGAGATAATGCTTTCTGCATAGATTTCAATCCACTCTATCACAATTACTCATTTGGAAGTGTTCTCATTATCATCATTTTTTCTGATTCTTTTTCCCACCTTAGTGTGCCAATGAGTCAGGCCTGACCCTGAATGTGCCATGCAATGTATGAAGCCCGGAGGCAGGCCTGCTGGACATGCTGGTGATGAACCTGGTCCCTGCCTACCAGAAAGGCGATCTCTTCTATGTTGGAAACTTCCTCCACAATTATAGACAGTGGGGGATGATGGAGCAAGTGCTGGATATTGTGTTTAAAAAGTGAGTGTTCCTCCTTCCTTCGCATCTTGGTCTGTTCAGCCCCTCCTTGCTGAGTTGTGGAATACTTGGCACCCCTATGAACCTGTTGATTTCATGGGGGTCTTCTCACAGGAGCTTGGCATGAGACAAAGAAGTGCACCCCCTGCCTACTTTCTTTTTTTTTTTTTTGTTGGTCATGGGGCTTGAACTCTGGGCCTGAGTGCTGTCCCTCAGCTCTTCAGTTCAAGGCGAGCGCTCTACCACTTGAGCTACAGCACCACTTCCCCTGCCTACTTTCTTAGTAGTGGTCTGCCCAGGACATTTCCCAGAAAAGCTACTGGAACCTCAGAAGCTTGCTTACTGAGGGGCTGTTATTACAGGCATGTGCCACTGGCACCCAACTTCTGCCCTCACCTAGGTGAGGTGCTAGGAAATCACATTTCCCATGAGTAAATAAGGTTTCATTGGGAATTGGATGTCTGTGAATAATGTAGACCCAGGAAAGGCTGTCGTGTGGGGGAGGCAGGTGAACTGGAGGCTGAATCAACTCAGAGACCTCAGGGAGGGATTATGTTGGCTTTACATATTTATAACCCCTGAAGCTTTTATGATTTTGTGTGTGTGCCAGTCCTGAAACCTGAACTCAGGGCCTGATTGCTGTTTCTTTGGTGCTCAGAGATACCACTACAGCCTTTGAACCATAGGTGCTATTCTGGTCTTTTAAAAATTAGTTCTTTAGACTTTCACTGACTAATGTCTGATCAGACTGTGCACCTGAGATCTCATGTTCCTGTTGAGCTAGAATTTGAGGTATTAGCCACTGGCACATTTTCCTTGGACCAAATATATATACCTCTCATAGAAGAATTTTCACTGAACTGTATAGACATACCTCACTTGTTTATGTGTCAGATTCCATTCCCATCTGGGAATGAGCCCATCCCATATATGTCTTGTTTGGGCAAAAAGGAGAAGCTGAGAGGTGACTTCCTCCTGTCCTCCCATAGGTACAGATTCCCGGGCCGTAACTCCCAGGAAGATGAACAAGTAAAGAAGTAAGTAGACTGTGGCACAAAGAAAAGGACCCTTCGTTCAAAATGGTATCTTTGAGGCTGCTGATTCAAAGTGCAGATTTCTCATTTGCACACCACTTGTGCTTTTCACTAGGGGGCACAGGCTTGGGATTGGAGTGGTGGCAGAAGAGACAGCTGTGGTGTGGTTGTGGACTCTCAGGGATGACAGGGAGGGCTGTGTGTACAAAATCAGTTCTTTCTTGTTACCTATCACAGTGAGAATATTGGAGAATTATCTTTCAGAAGCTTCTAGTCGTGGCTGGTGAAGATCACTCTGCCTGCAGGAGTCTCCTCCTGCTTCCCAACATGCAAGTGTGCATATAGCAGTCCTTGCAGAAAGGGGCTATGGGAGGCCCAGGATAGGGAGGGCAGGAACTCACTCTTCTTGTCACCAATCTGCCCACAGCACCCTTTGTTCCGTCTTCACCATGTGGATGGACTGCTATCCTGCTGATTTCTGAGAGCCCCAGAACCGACACCCGGTGAAAGAACTTACCCACTATGCCATGCTCCACATGCCCTCCTCGGACCTGCTCCTCCACCTCCACATTCTTCTGGATGAGCTGGAGGAGACCGGGAAGAATGAGACCAAGAAACAGAGGAAGAAGTCCCTGTGTGGTCACCTCAGAGCATGTGAGTAGGGATGGCGCCTGGGCCTCTAGGGGTGGTCCTAATTGCCTGAGAGCCCTTACTACCCCCCTGGTTGTAAGAATATCTTTGTATGATACTCTGGGCCAGGCAGTGTTTGTTCTATTGGTGAAAGGAGTTGAGCTTAGCCACTCTTTGGAAATACCTTACCTTCTCATCAGTGTTCAGTCCAAAGTAAACTTGTACAGCTTCCTCCATTAGAGCCTCATGGAAATTGAACTCTATCTTAACATCCAGAATCCACTGTCAAACTCCTTTACCTATTTCTCTTTCTCAGGCTTTGGCCGCCATAGAGCAGCTTCTCCTGACCTGCCAAGAGAGAAGCCCTCGGTGATGGTCAGGGATGGTGATGGATGGAGATCTGGAGCCATCACTGGACTCCACAAAGCATGTGCATGTAGAGGGGTTGCATGCATTTGCAGTGAGGCCCCAACGGGTTGTGAGTCCTGTGGATATGACACTGGTTCTGAACCCCATATGTGACAGAGATGAAAGAAAGAAGAAGGTAATAGTGATTGTCTTCCTCTGACTTTCACAGGCGGCCCAGATCAACTCATAAAGGGTCAAATCAGCACTTCTCCTGGTGTGCTGGAGGGAGTAGCACATGTGGGGCTGATGGAAAATGTCCCCAGTCTGTGTTCAGGGGAACCAATGAGTGAGGTCCAAACGTTAGATTCAGCTCCGGAAAGTGAATCTGTCCTCACAGAACATCTGGACAAATCTGTCCTGCTGCAGGAGAGCCAATCTCTAACTGAGAAATTAGCATCTGCCTTCCTCTCAACTCCAGGAGCAAATCCTACCTTTCATGAGGAGGTATATCCCTTGGAGGATTCTGAGTTAGAATTTATGTCTGAAGGCAACTTAGAAGATGACCTAGACTTAGAGCTTCCCTCCCCTCTCCCTGGGGATATCTTTCTTTTTCTTTTTGTCCTGATTGTTGTAAAATGTTCATTCTTTTTATTCTTCTAAATTTATTAAGATGTATGTTTATGTTGTACAATTTATGGATCCTAAATACTGTGGGTTTTTTAATGTACATTCTGGTGTCCCAGACACATGTGTCCTGAGTAAGGGCAAAAGACAGAGTGACCTGGAGCTGTCCAAGAGCACTACCTGGCTATAGAGGGAAGTGTTCAGTGCACTGTGAGGGGCAAGGAACCCAGCCCATGCCTGCATGGGGTGATCAGGCCACTACTAAAGCTCTAGGACATAGCAAACCAGATGTCCTTGAAAGTTGTTCTGTCAGACTAAATGTACTAAATGCGGGACTTTCTTCCATTAGTGAAGTCAAGTCAGTACGCACCCCCATTTTCCTCTGTGCAAATATGTAAGAACATTTCACCTCAAAATAACATCAAAAAGCTACTTTGAGGGAAAAGTATTTGACAAAATACATGGGAAATAGGTAAAAGCCATCATCAATAAAGAAAACTTAGTCAGAGGGACAAAGACATGCCAGGTGTCCTGGCCCATCTCAATAATTCTAGTTTCAAGAGTGCACTATACTTCCTCAGGATGGAGCTTCAAATCAGCCCCTGTAGACAAATCTGAAAGACTTATCCAATGAGCCAGCAAAAGTCAGGAAGTCCTAGCATGGCTGAAGTTACATGTTTCAGAATGGAACAAAAAGTAAGCAAGAGCTCAATGTCCTGAGTTCAAATTCCACTACTGGCACAAAAGATGAAGACATCTAGACATGAAATGTGGGCAATGGTAGCTTTAAACCATGGAAATAGAAAAACATACAAATGGGAAAATTACATATTTAAGCAAAAAGGCCAGACTTACAAACCATTGGTGAGTAGGTGTGGGCCTGTTCATGTTCTATGGGAGCGTGTTGAATGATTTATGAAACTCCAAATAGATTCTAGTTAGCAAATGTGGATCAGGATGATGTGGTACTATGTAGTGAACTGTGGAAGAATAGGAAATACATCTTAGATATCCATATTCACTTTCTAATTGGAGTGGTAAGGGATTTCTCAGTCTTCCTGTCTGTTTTCTTGTGTTTGTCTTTCTGTCTCTGTCTCTGTCTCTGTTTCTGTCTGTCTCTGTCTCTGTCTCTGTTTGTCTCTGCCTCTGCCTCTGTCTCTGTCGCTGTCTCTCTCTGTCACTTTCTGTCTCTCTCTCTCTCTCTCTCTCTCTCTCTCTCTCTCTCTCTCTCTTCCTCTCTTCTGTTTTGTTGTGGAGCTTGAACTCATGTTGTGGGACCTGTCTTTGAGCTTTTTTTTTTGCACAAGGCTAATGCTCTTCAACTTAGAGTCACAGCTCCCCTTCCAGTTTTCTAGTGGTTAATTGGACAGAAGAGGACTTTCTTGACAGATATGGCTATGAACCATGATCCTCCCATTTAGACTCCTGACTAGCTAGCAGTACAGGCATGATCCACAGTGTCCAGTCAGGGAATCTCTTTTTGTGTGTGTGTGTTAGATCTTGCCTCCCTCCTCTCTGGACAAATGCCTGTTTTACTATTTATTGTTTTAACAGTATTGAAATGTCCATGTTTACATGATGTTGTAAAATTCTTGAATACAAAATACTCTGGTCTTTTCTACCTCCAATCTAATATCCTGGGCACATGGGGCCTGATTGGGAGGAAGCAGAGTGTGCTGGATCTGGGGAACAAATCTGCTGGATTTACAAGGAACTGGTGACTAGAGGGAGTCACAAGGAATGCAGGCAGTGGAGGATGCAGCCTGTGCCGAGATAGGACCCTTGATGCTGAGAGACAAAAGCTCTGTGTTATATCACCACAGGTGTCTTTGAAAGCTGGTCCCACTTGAATCTCAAGCCCCCACCTCTTACTAGGGATAACTTCCCCTTCCCAGCTAGTCGGGTAAATGTGTTGATGTTTGAAGCTCTCTGCCAACAATGAACAATTCTGCACTGTGCAAATATAGAACATATAAATTTTAAAAGCTAGAATTAAATATTTGGTGCTGTTTTATGCTCTTAAGATGTTCCTTTCGTTGGGTTTTCATGAAGATTTTCTAAGTCTGCATGAGGGTGGATATGGACTGTAAGTTATCAAGATGACACAATAAGAGACTCATGCCTGCATTTGGAGAATGGTCTGGAAATGAGCTTGCTGCACATATTAGCTTACTTGGGTTAGGCATTTTTCTCTGTAAGAAGTCATTTTGGCTGCCTTTTCCCGTTCATTATATCAGAAGCTACAACCTCTAACATGTAAATAGATGTACTTTTATGTAACATTTAAGAAAATCTGAGGGAATATTTAACAGTATTTGGAAAAGGGTGTCGTTTGTGGTAGTCAAAAACTTAAATTCTAACCATGTTGGCATTGTTCTACACAAATAGATCAATGTGTCTCTGTATACCAGGTGAGGAACAGTTCTTAGTCTCCCTGTCTTGAAGCACACGTTCTGAGAATCCTTGAATTTCATCTGCTCTCTATCCCAGGACAATAGATTCTGAGAGGAGGCCTGGGCCCTGCAGTGTGGCAGAGGTGCATGTGCAGAGGGAACATGTCTGGTTGGCATGCTGGAGTGGGAAATCCAGAAACTCTGGCAATCACCAGTTCAGTAAAGAGGACTGAGGGTTTAGGAAGGGACCGAGTGAAGAGTGCGTGGTGTAGGTGGTGTGTGTACAGAATGGTGGTGCTTGAACTGAAAAGCTGGCCACTGTCTCTGAGTTCTTTCACTCAAGGCTAGCACTCTACCACTTTGAGCTACAGCTGGAGATAATCTGATAGCATTTCCTGACCTGGCTGGCTTTGAACCATGATCCTCAGATCTCAGCCTCCTGACTAGCAAAGAATACAGGCCTGAGCCAGAGACACTGATCCATATCATTTTTGTGTGTAGACTATTGGTGGTAAAGAAGACTCATTTATTCAAGAACTAAAAAACGACTAACAAAGGAGATTGTTGATGAAAATCTGCATGTCTAACACAAGACTTGGGTAACATTGTGACAGAAAAGGCTAAATTCCAAAATTGGGATTATTTTCTGTGTTCACTACATACATCACTTACATATTATATATAAAATAATATATATAAATATAGAATATACTACATGATAATACATATATTTGAATGTATTTTATAGGAGGACTAGCATATGATATTATGGGTCTCGAATATGTTGTTTCACAAAACATTAATGTAAAAGACATTATTGGGAAATTCAGTGATATACCATTGATTCCCATATATTGTGTAGGTATATCTGTCTCAAGTCAACATAGTTAAATTCGCCAAATGCTGTTGCAAAAAGGGGTCATATTCTGGACACTGGTGGCCCATGCCTATAATCCTAGCTACTGGAGAGGCTGAGATCTGAGGATCACAGCGGAAAGTCAGCCAGGCAGGAACATCCATGAGACTCTGATCTCCCAATAAGCAACCAGAAAACCAGAAGTGGTACTGTGCCTCAAGGTGGTAAAGCCCTAGCTTTGAGCTGAAAAGCTGAGGGACAGGGTCCAGTCCCAGAGTTCAAGCCCAACAAACAATCCCCCATCCCCCCAAAAATGTGCGATGGCAGGTAATGAGCTGTTCATATATAGCTCAGGCCTGTGATCCCAATTAATCAGGAAACTTGGTTCTGAGTTTCAGAGGTTCTATCCTCAGGGCACTAAGTTTTGAGAGAAGACTTGAGCCTCTCAAGGGACACAAAGAGACATGTGCAGTGGAGGATGGCTTGTGTCTGTGCTTGGATGGGAAATCCAGAAACTGAACAGCCATTGCCACAGTTGAGGAAAGATGAGGCTGAAGAGGAGCAATGTCCATGCTGGGTAGGAAAGTTCCATGAATCTCTCATCTCCAGCTCACTACAAAAAGCTCAAAGTGGACCTGTGCCTCAGGTGGTAAAGCACTAGTTTTGAGGAAAATTGCTCAGGGATAAGGCAAAGGGTCCAAGATCAGAAATGCACACACACACACACACACACACACACACACACATACACACACACACACAGGCACAGAACCAACAGTAAATATTGTATTTTCAATTCCTATGCAGAGACTGGACAACAGCTCAGCAATGTGTGAAATTCTTCTTCCCGTTTGTGTTGAGAGAGGAGGATAGATCATGGGACACAGAAGCAAAGACTTCAGAGGCAAATGACTATATAAACGATTAGCTTGTAAGACGTAAAGGAGCAGTTTTCTACCTTAAATACTACATTCCTTCAAAGCTATATTAAAACAAATCCTAGTCATCATAAAAAGACAATACAGCAGCTCTTCCTTTCTCTGCTTGCCTCCATGAAATATTTCAAGTATAAAAAATAATTTTCTCACTTCCAAAAATGGACACCTGTGGCTGGGAAGGTGGCTCAGTGGTAGAGTGCTTGCCTAGCATGCCTTGCATGAAGACCTGGGTTCAATTGCTCAGTACCACATACACAGAAAAAGCCAAAGTGGTGCTGTGGCTCAAGTGGTAGAGTGCTAGGCTTGAGCAAAAGAGCTCAGGGGAGTGCCCAGGCTGAAGTGAAGCCACAGAAATGGCCAAAAAAATAGACACCTGTAATAAAGGCTGATTATATATGTAATGTATGTTTTCCAAGATTCCTTTCAATTTCCCATCTCTAAGTATTTGCATTGGCTCCAGATGACACCAGAGAGGGGTTCCAAGGACAAACAGATTAGGCTACAGAAAGTAAACAATGACCTAGGATGTTGATGTCAAAATATGTGCCAGAAGGATGTGGCAGTCACAGAAGGCCTTGAGAGGCAAAATAATTTGAGCCTGATTAGAGGAATAGTGACAGATATGCCATGAATGTGACCTAGGAGTGACTCCTGGAAGCAGAGAACATGCCAGAACCTAGGGCTAGCAGATTAGGATTGGACAAACAAGGTGTGCTGTTAACTCTGTCTACATGTACACTTAGCCATATTGGGGGGGCGGTATTTCTTGGGTAAGGAAGGGGCAGAGATCATTGGGCCCTGACAGGTGACCCTGCCTCCTTCACAATGGAATAGAACATGGAACCCTGATAGCAGGCCACGGTAACTCACAGTTGGCTCAAGCCAGCTCACTTGGCCTGTGACTCCGGAGCCAGAAACATGTTCTTGTGCTGTATTCGCAGGTCTCGAGACTCTGGTCTCAGCCAAGAGAAGGATGGGTGCCTCAGTCAAAGCTGTAGACACTGGATCAGTGGCAAGCCACGAAGCAACCATCTCAGAGATTTGTCCAAAAAGAAACCTAGGAAATCACAAGGCAACTCAGGCAAGGTATACTCATGATAGAAAAACTACTTAACCCCAACCTGGTCCACAGTAGAACCTTCTTATGTGATTTGGGTTTACTGAGATAATACTGTCTGCATAGTTTTCAATCCACTCTATCACAATTACTCGTTTGGAAGTGGTCTCATTTCCATGGTTTTTTTTTTCTGATTCTTTGTCTCGCCTTAGTGTGCTAATGTGTGAGCCCTGACCCTGAATGTGCCATGCCATATATGGAGCCCGGAGGCAGGCCTGCTGGACATGTTGGTGATGAACCTGGTCCCTGCCTACCAGAAAGGCGATCTCTTCTATGTTGGAAACTTCCTCCACAATTATAGACAGTGGGGGACAATGGAGCAAGTGCTGGATATTGTGTTCAAAAAGTGAGTGTTCCCCCTTCAAAACTGGGACAGTTCAGCTATTCCTGGCTGAGTTGTGGAATACTTGGCACCCCTCTGAACCTGTTGATTTCATGGGGGTCTTCTCACAGGAGCTTGGCATGAGACAAAGAAGTGCATACCCTGCGTAGTTTCTTAGTAGCGGTCTGCCCAGGACATTTCCCAGAGAAGCTACTGGAACCTCAGAAGCTTGCTTACTGAGGGGCTAGGATTACAGGCATGTGCCCGTGGCACACAACTTCTGCCCTCACCTAGGTGAGGTTCTAGGAAATCACATTTCCCATGAGTAAATAAGGTTTCATTAGCAATTGGATGTCTGTGAATAATGTAGACCCAGGAAAGGCTGGGGTGTGGGGGAGGCGGGTGAACTGGAGGCTGAATCAACTCAGAGATTTCAAGGAGGGATTCTGTTGGCTTTACATATTATAACCCCTGAAGCTTTTATGTTTTTGTGTGTGTTAGTCCTTCCACCTAAACTCAGCGTCTTGGTGCTGTTTCTTTGGTGCTCAGAGCTACCACTACAGAATTTGAACCATAGGTGCAATTCTGGCCTTTTAAAAATTAATGTCCTTAGACTTTTACTGACTAATGTCTGATCAGACTGTGCACCTGAGATCTCATGCTCCTGATTAGATAGGATTAGAGGCATGAGCACTGTCACATTTACCTTGGACCAATGCATATAAGTCTCTTAGCAGAATTTTCACTGAACTGTATCTCACTTATTTATGTGTCAGATTGCATTCCCGTCTGGGAATGAGCCCATCCCATATGTGTTCTGTGTGGGCAGAAAAGGAGAAGCTGAGAGGTGACTTCCTCCTGTCCTCCCATAGGTACAGATTCCCGGGCCGTAACTCTGAGGAAGATGAACAAGTAAAGAAGTAAGTGGACTGTGGCACAAAGAAAAGGCCCCTTCGTTTAAAATGGTATTTTTGAGGCTTCTGATTCAAAGTGCAGATTTCTCATTTGCACATCACTTGTGCTTTCCACTAGGGGCAGAGGCTTGGGATTGGAGTGGTGGCAGAGGACACAGCTGTGGTGTGGTTGAGGACTCTCAGGGATGACAGGGAGGGCTGTGTGTACAAAATCAGTTCCTTCTTGTTACCTATCACAGTGAGAATATTGGAGAATTATCTTTCAGAAGCTTCTACACGTGGGTGGTGAAGATCAGCCTGCTTGCGGGAGTCTCCTCCTGCTTCCCAACATGCAAGTGTGCATACAGCAGTGCTTGCAGAAAGGGGCTATGGGAGGCCCAGGATCGGGAGGGCAGACACTCACTCTTCTTGTCACCAATCTGCCCGCAGCAGCCTTTGTTCCATCTTCACCACGTGGATGGACTGCTATCCTGCAGATTTCCGAGAGCCCCAGAACTGACACCCGGTGAAAGAACTTACCCACTATGCCATGCTCCACATGCCCTCCTCAGATCTGGTCCTCCATCTCCACGTTCATCTGGATGAGCTGGAGAAGAGCGGGAGGAATGAGACCAAGACACAGAGGAAGAAGTCCCTGTGTGGTCACCTCAGAGCTTGTGAGTAGGGATGGCGCCTGGGCCTCTACGTATGATCCTAATTGCCTGAGAGCCCTTATTACCCCCCAGGTTGTAAGAATGTCTTTTTATGATACTATCTGCCAGGCAGTGTTGGTTCTATTTGTGAAAGCACTTGCGCTTAGCCACTCTTGGGAAAGACCTTACCTTCTCTTCAGTGTTCAGTACAAAGTAAACTTGTACAGCTTCCTCCATTACAGCCTCATGGAAATTGAACTCCACCTTAACATCCAGAGACCACTGTCAAACTCCTTTACCTATTTCTCTTTCTCAGGTTTTGGCTGCCATAGAGCAGCTTCTCCTGATCTGCCAAGAAAGTTGCCCTCGGTGATGTCAGGGATGGTGATGGATGGAGATCTGGAGCCATCACTGGACTCCACAAAGCATGTGCATGTAGAGGGGTTGGATGCATTTGCAGTCAGGCCCCAAAAGGTTGTGAGTCCTGTGGATAAGACACTGGTTCTGAACCCCACATGTGACAGAGCTGAACTTGTAGGGACCCCAAAGAAAGAAGAAAGTAATTGTGATTGTCTTCCTCTGACTTTCACAGGCGGCCCAGATCAGCTTATAAAGGGTCAAATCAGCACTCCTCCTGGTGTGCTGGAGGGAGTAGCATACGTGGGGCTGATGGAAAATGTCCCCAGTCTGTGTTCAGGGGAACCAATAAGTGAGGTCCCAAAGTTAGATGCAGCTCAGGAAAGTGAATCTGTCCTCAAAAAATATGTGGACAAATCAGTCCTGCTGCAGCAGAGCCAATCTCCAACAGAGAAATTAGAATCTGCCTCTCTGGCAATTGCAGGAGCAACTCCAATCTTTCATGAGGAGATAGATCCCTTGGAGGATTCTGAGGCAGAATTTATGTTTGAAGGCAAATTAGAAGCCAACCTAGACTTAGAGCTTCCCTCCCCTCTCCCTGGGTATATCTGTCTTTTTCTTTTTGTCCTGATTGTTGTAAAATGTTCATTCTTTTTATTCTTCTAAATTTATTAAATATATATGTTTATGTTGTACAATTTATGGAGGCTAAATGTTGTGGTTTGTTTTCTTATACATTCTGATGTCCCAGACACATGAGTCCTGAGTAAAGGCAAAATAGTGACCTGGAACTGTCCAACAACACTTACTGGCTATGAAGGGAAGTGTTCAGTGCAGTATGAGGGGCAAGGAACCCAACCCATGCCTGCATGGGGGGATCAGGCCATTACTAAAGATCTAGGACATAGCAAACCAGGTGTCCTTGAAAGTTGTTCTGTCTATTGAGACTTATGCCAGACTAAATGTTCTGTATGTGGGACTTTCTTCCATTAGTGAATTCAAGTCTGTACGCACACCCATTTTGCTCTGTGCAAATATGTAAGGACATTTCACCTCAAAATACCACCAAAATGTTACTTTGAGGGAAAAGTATTTGACAAAATACATAGGAAATAGGTAACAGCCATCATCAATAGAAGACAGAAGACTTAGCCAGAGGGACAAAGACATGCCAGGTGTCCTGGCCCATCTCAATAATTGTAGCTTCAAGAATGCCCTATACTTCCTCAAGGTTCAAATCAGCCCCTGTAGACAAATCTGAAAGACTTATCCAATGAGCCAGCAAAAGTCAGGAACTCATAGCATGGTTGAAGTTACATGTTTAAGCATGGAACAAAAAGTGAGCAGGAGCTTAAGGCCCTGAGTTCATATTCCACTACTGGCACAAAAGATGAAGACATCTAGATGTGAAATGTGGGGAATGGTAGCTTTAAAGCATGGAAACAGAAAAACATACAAATGGGAATATTACATATTTAAGCAAAAAGGCCAGACTTATAATAAACCATTGGTGAGTAGGTGTGGGCCTGTTTATGTTCTATGGGAGCATGTGGAATAATTTATGAAACACCAAATAGATTCCAAGTAGCCAAATGTGGATCAGGATGAGGTGGTACTATGTAGTGAATTGTGGAAAAATAGGATATACATCTTAGATATCCATATCCATTTCTCTAAATGGAGTTGTCAGTGATTTCTCAGTCTTCCTGTCTGTTTTTCTGTGTTTGTCTGTCTGTCTCTATTTCTGTCAATCTCTGTCTGTTTCTGTCTCTCTCTGTGTGTCTCTGTCTCTTTTTCTGTCTCTGTCTCTGTCTCTCTCTCACATTTCCTCTCTCCGTTTGGTTGTGGAGCTGGAACTCACGTTGTGGACACTGTCTCTGAGCTTTTTTTGCACAAGGCTAATGCTCTTCCACTTACAGTCACAGCTTCCCTTCCATTTTTTGGTGCTTAATTGGAGAGAAGAGTCTCATAGACTTTCCTGCCTGATCTGGCTTTGAACCATGATCCTCGGATTTAGCCTCCTGACTAGCTAGCAGTACAGGCGAGATCCACAGCATGCAGTCAGGAATCTTTTTTAAACCTGATTTTCTAAGAAATCACATAAATGGTTCATAGCAAAGGTTTGAAGTCTGACTTCAATGTGACAAGAAAAGAATTTTGTCAGCCTGAGACAATTGAAGATCCTGGAGTGTTGTTTGTTGTTGTTTGAAGTCTGGAACCCAGACATATACAAGCTACTGAAGTGCTACCCAATTAGCTTTACAATCTGAGTCTAGGGATTCAAGTTTATATAAAATGTGAGCTCTCCATCATGCATACCTCCGAGATATGGTACATGACTTCTGCATTTCTACTGGTGTTTCAAGAACTATTCTATTTATATAATTGTTGTTTTGTAAACCTGGTGGTAGAGCTGCACACTTCTAATCAATCAGAGCAACTGGGAAGACAGAAATGAGGAACTTGTAATTGAATGCCAGTCGGAGGCCAAAACTCAACAGTTGGTCTGAAAAATAATTGTAAACAAAGAGCCCAGGGCAAGGCCTAAGTCACAGAATACCTGGGTACTAAAACATTTTTGGGGAAAATGCTTATAGAACATTGCTTATCAATATATAAATATATAGTTGTGTGTAAATATACCATTGATTAAAAATAGATTAATATATATTTGAGTGTGTGTGTGTGTATCTATAAAGAAAACATAAGGAAATTCATCAAAATCTGTATGAAATAGACGCTGTGAGCTGGCCATCTGAGGCACAGGCCTGTGATCTTTGTGATTTAGGAATCTGGGTTCTGAGTTTCAGGGACTCTTAACCCCAGGGCCTTGGATTTTGAGACCAGGCCTGAGCCCCTCTGGAGCCGCACATGGACATGCGCAGTGGGAGGATGGCTGGTGCGCATGCTCAGACTGGCAATCTAGCCCCTCCGGGACCGCCATTGCAGCTTCGGGGAGAGACAGGGGTCTGGAGCAGAGAAGTTGGCACTGAGGTCCTGTCCTGGGGGAAGCGATGAGGAAGGGCCGCCGTGGGGAAGGGAGGCCTCTCAGGAAAGCCCGCAAGGCCTTGGGTGCAGCGGGAACTTGTGGACGTCCTTTCTGGGGCTGGGGCCTGGCTGTGCCGCCCCGTGCGGCCTCCGCGGTCTTTTGGCGCCTGGCTCCGCCATGGTTGCTGTCAGGCTGGGCAGCGGATCCTCCCGTGCCTTGCCCGGCGTGGAGCCTGCAGGACGGCCAGACCCCAGCACACGGGGTGCAGGAAGCAGTGGGGTTTGCGCAGGAGTGCTGCTGAGAGGAAGGGCGGCGGGCTTTGTCTGAGGTGAGTCCCTTAGGCGTCTGGCTGGTCTGGAGGGGACACGGAGGTTTGGAGGAACGGCTTCCCTGGGGTCCGGGGAGTGTTTCAGAGTGATGGTGGGTGTAAGGGTCATCCAATGCCTTAGCTTTCTCTCCTTTGTATTTCCACTTGTAATGTGTGTGTGTGCCAATCCTGGGACTTGAACTCAAGGCCTTGGTGTCCTCCCTGACTCTCCCCTCTCCACTCCTCTCCTTAGGGCTGCCATTCTACCATTTGTGTCACATTTCTGCCTCCAGATTTCTGTTGGTTTTCTGGAGATAGAAGCCTCACAGACTTTGCTGTCAAAGTCGGCTCTTTGCCCTGACTGTGCCCTTGTGGATGAGAGTGAGCTGGAAGGAAGGGAGCCGCGACCCTGGAGCTGGTTGGAAGATGTTCATTTCGTGGTGGTTCACTGGGGTTTGAGAACAGTACCGCGGGTGAGCCCTTAAAGGTAAGCCCTTCACATGCATAGCTGGCTTTGGAGTTCGTGTGCTGGGAATTGCCTGTCAGAGGTTCAGGGTTGATATTGGGGTGACTGGGCTGGGTGCCAGAGTGAGTTGAATAAACCAAAAAAAATACCCGGATTGAAAATTGTCATTCTTAGTGATATTTTGTAATAAAACTAACAAAAGTGTACCAACAACAACATGATGCTACACAAAATGAGGCCCAAGATACA